TGAGTACATTTGAAGCTTTTTCACATTTACGCTTCATTATTTTTTCATTTACGGGTACTATTGTTGCATTTTAATTTTAGCATATTTGTGAGGTAAGTAAAATATTTGATCAGATTTTATTCCAATATGTTGATTTGAAAACTTCAGCTACAAGTTACTTAATAGTTTAACATTATGCACACTAAATATTTTTGAGCTTTCAATTACTTAAAGAAATAAACATGAAAAATGACCAAAAACAAGTGCAGGTGTCACATGTGTTGACTGACTGAGCTGACATTTTTTCACTATTTTTTTACACCTCACAAAGTAAATCAGTGGTTCAGTCAAGAGAATAATGAGCAGCTTATAATGATAAAAAGCTATTTAGAGGTTAGCAACTTTAACAAATTAATTATAAGAAAACAATGTAGCAAATCTGAAAATATAGAATATGATAATTATGATTGTTTCATTTATCTTGCACAGATATAAACAGAGCCACATAGTGATTACTCAGGACAACAGCAGATTAAAAAACTAAATGTGTTATATTTAATTACATGTGATGTAAAGGTAAAAAAAAAAAGAAGAAGAGAGAATTAAAGCAACATAAAGGTCTTTATCTGTTGTACTGTGTGCTGTGATCATTTTCTTCCGCTGTGATCACCAGATGTTTTAGGCCCTCACATCCTTTTCTGTCCAGCAGGGGTCGATGTTGAGGCAGCTTGTGTAACTCTTTTTTTTTTTTGAGTGTCTTTAAGATGTGGCAGAGCTGTTTTAGCCTCCTCATCTTTCAGCCCATCTTCCAGGGGCGTAATTTCCGGGGAGGTTATGAACCCCCCAATAATCAGACCCAACCAATAAAACCCCCATAAAATTATGAATAATCTTGCATAAATAGGCTGTTGATTTTCTTTACTCATATCCGTTATTACCAGCAAAATAGTTTCACGTTTAATCATCTGAGTTTACCCAGATTTATTTATTTATTTAGACAGAGATCTTGACCCCCCCAATTTTCAGCACAAAGTTACACCGATGTCTTCTCTACTGTTGCAGACCTTTTAGGCTGTGCAGGTGTTGCAGATCCTTCTAAGACAGCTGGAAGGTGTCAGTGTTTTTCATGTCCTTCTGCACTACCCTCCAACATCCTGAGCCACATGGTAGCACCGAGTTAACATCACTATTATAGAGCCTGGTCTTGGTTTTAAAGTTGTGTTGCTTCAACTTCCTGAAGTGACTGAGCTGGCTATAAAAGCACCTCAAGCTTTGTTAACTCTGCCTCTGATGTCTTTATGGTCACTGCCTATCAGGCTACCAAAGTACTTCAGCATTCTTCAGGGTTGACCAACTAACATGTTATCATCACTTCTGTCTACTTCTGGTTGACATATAGACCGGTTTCCTTGGCATAGTTACACAACACAACATAAGATGAGGCCACACAGCTGAATTTCCACTTAAGGTGAGAAATTTAAGAATAAATGTATAAGTGCTCAAATCATATAGGGACTATTAAGCAAAACTGGAGCCTTTGAGACCCATCGCGTTCTTGGTGAGAAATCTAACTTTGTGATGTAAGATTATGTTTGTAGAATAAAAGTTTATCTAAGCA